AGAGCATCCTGGACCCCCAGCACAGCCCTCCCAGAGCATCCTCAGCCCCCCAGCACATGGTGCAGCCCCCCCCCAGAGCATCCTGGACCCCCAGCATGGGTGGAGGTTTGGGTGTGGGGGGGCCCAGGGCTCGTGCCTCCCCCCCCCGCCCCCATCCACTCCTGGGGAGAGCAGCCACCCCACCTTATCCCAACTGGTCCCAGTTTGTCTACGAGGACGCCATGGACCTGATCGCCAAGCTGCCTTGCGTCGCCGCCAAGATCTACCGCAACCTGTACCGGGAGGGCAGCAGCATCGGGGCCATCGACCCCAACCTCGACTGGTCCCACAACTTCACCAACATGTTGGGCTACACCGACCCCCAGTTCATCGAGCTGATGCGGCTCTACCTCACCATCCACAGGTATTGGGGCCAGGAGGAGCAGTGGGGGCTGTCCAGGGATGGGGACAACTCCGGGGGTGTCTCACCTTGAGTACTGTGTCCAGTTTTGGGCTTCAAAATGGCACTGGGGACACGAAAGCAAAGCATCCTGGCCTGTGTCAGGACCAGCGTGGGGAGTAGGGCCCGAGAGGTGATGGTCCCCCTGTACTGGGCACTGGTGAGGCCTCACCTCGAGTGCTGTGTCCAGTTTTGGGCCCCCTACCATAAAAAAAGACATTGAGGTGCTGGAGGGCACACGCCGTGGGCCCACAGGCAGCCACAGGGCAGGCCTGTGCCAGGCCTGGCACATGGTGGGATGGGGGGTGTCCACTGTGGGGGTGTCCCCGCGGCTCTGGGGGCTCTGGGTGGGGATGGGGGAGACCTGACGTGTCCCCTCGCCCCTCGCAGTGACCACGAGGGGGGAAATGTGAGTGCCCACACCAGCCACCTGGTCGGCAGTGCCCTCTCCGATCCCTACCTCGCCTTCGCCGCCGCCATGAACGGGCTGGCCGGGCCCCTGCACGGCCTCGCCAACCAGGTGGGCACCTCCCCGCGTCCCCTCTGTCCATCCTTGTGTCCATCCGTCCTTCTGTCTGTTTGTCCTCACCCTCCTCCTCCTCCTCCTCCTCCTCTGCCCTCAGGAGGTGCTGCTCTGGCTGACGGACCTGCAGAAGGAGCTGGGGCAGGAGGTGTCAGATGAGAAGCTGCGGGATTTCATCTGGAACACGCTCAATTCGGGCAGGGTGAGGGATGGGGGGGCCTG